CAAGCACAGTGTCTACCCACTGAGGCTCGCAGGACCCTATGTCTAACCCTTATACAATGTCATATGGACTACGCTTGCTCTTCATGGTACTCTGCCTTGACAAAAAAAAAAAAACAAAACTGAAAGTTAGACTGCAAATCACCCAGAACAAAATAGTAATATTTATCCTGGACCTGGGTCCAAGAGAGCGTGTAGTCCAAGATGAATTACAACAATTGGATATGCTGAATGTTGAAGACAGTAAAATAACTGAAGTTGAATTAAGTTTATAAAATTACTCACAAACAGTGTCCAGAATATCTTGCTGCCAATTTTGTCAAGGTGGAGAACTTAAGCAATCATAGTACTAGGGGGAGAGAGCACAACTTTGTAGTACCCACAGCCAGTGGCCAGGCTTCAAACACCTTTTACTGTACAGCAATAAAGGAATGGAACAGCCTGCCTGCACATGTCAAAGCCAGTCATAGCATGAACCAGTTCAAGAAGAGTGCCAAAAGGTTCTTAATGAATGTAGCGACAGAAAGGGATGAGAATGATTTGTTTTTATTTTGTAGCTAACACATGTGTAAATATAAATAACTCAATTTACCTTATTCCTATAAATAACTCAATTTACCTTATTCCTAGTATATCTCCTTTATAGTATAATAAGATATTATCTCCTTTATAGTATAATAGTAAAATATCTTCTTTATAGTATAATAATAAGGTATTAAAAAGACCCCAATGGAAATAAAATCACTTTGACGTTTTTGGGTTATCCTAGGTTCTGTACACATATGCTGCTATGTATGATAATCTATGTGACTGTATTTGTGTATACCTGAATAAACTTACTTACCTGGGTCTAGGTGATGACTGGCATTAGATTCAGCGAACTGGAGCTAGAGCTACTCTCTCCTTGTATCAAACCTGATTACCTTCCGTTTCCCAGGTGCTGTATGAGCCCCACGGCTTTAGCTTTCCCCATGAATATAATAATTAGCCTTATTGCTCAACATTTATTCCCTGCTTTGCTTGCACAATTTCCTTGTACCATTTTCCAAAATATTTAAAACCCAGTATAATACTTTCATCACTGAATGCTAAATCCCTCTCATTCTCACAAGGTCATAATGTCCAATTGTGCTTTATCAGTAATTTAACCAGCCATCGCATGTCCTGGCAGATACAGAAAATTGTTAGGTCAGTCATCTGCATATGTATTGGGTTGTGGGCGTAGATAAATTGGACAGTTAACAGCAGTGGTTTAAGGCTTCGTGGATACTTCCTTGCAATAGGCTGGCGGGGACTGGAGTGGCTTACAGACTCATCTCCATTAAAAATTACCCTTGGATATCGTCCTTGAGGTAGTACTCAGGTGATGTAGAGTGGAGCCAGCACTTGGTTTCAAGTTCTCTTTGTCATACCCGGCCAAAGGCACCAGCATTGTTCAGTACATTTACACATGATCATAGATTCAACCAATAGTTAGTGCCTTATAGTGGAGAAGCTCGTCAAGTGACTGATGCCACATAGTGAAGCTCCTCAAGTGATTGATGCCACAAAAGTGGAGAGGTTCATTCAGTGTTTATCTCTTCAAAACTGACAGTCACATATCGAGTGGTAATAAAGCGTCATTTATTGTGAGACCTTGTCATTGATAGCTGTGACACTAGCTGACAAGCTCTTATTTCTTAAGTTTATAAACACATACACAGAAGCCAGGAGCTGTGACTCGACCCCTTCAACCACATATAGGTGAGTACACACACACACACACATACACACACACACACACACACACACACACACACACACATACACACACACACACACACACACACACCACACACACACACACACACACACACACACACACTAGTTGAGAACCCACACCTAGCCAAGCACGTAAAGAAACTAGAGAAAGTGCAAAGGTTTGCAACAAGACTAGTCCCAGAGCTAAGAAGTATGTCCTACGAGGAGAGGTTAAGGGAAATGAACCTGACAACACTGGTGGACAGGAGAGGTAGGGGGGACAGGATAGCGACATACAAAATACTGAGAGGAATTGACAAGGTGGACAAAGACAGGATGTTCCAGAGATGGGACACAGCAACAAGGGGACACAGTTGGAAGCTGAAGACACAGATGAATCACAGGGATGTTAGGAAGTATTTCTTCAGCCACAGAATAGTCAGGAAGTGGAATAGTTTGGGAAGCGATGTAGTAGAGGCAGGATCCATACATAGCTTTAAGCAGAGGTATGATAAAGCTCACGGTTCAGGGAGAGCGACCTAGTAGCGACCAGTGAAGAGGCGGGGCCAGGAGCTTGGACTCGACCCCTGCAGCCTCAACTAGGTGAGTACAACTAGGTGAGTACACTAGGTGAGTACACACACACACTAGTAATACATTAGGAGCTGACTCTTCATAAGAATTCAAAATTTGACGAAGCTAATTAAAAATTTAGAGAAAACTAGAATAAACAGAAAACACACTCTCTCAGTAATTATACCATAAAATTGAAGAAACAAACGGGCTCTATCCCTGTAGCCCATTAATTCTCCCTACCACTTTCTTCAATCTCTCGCATTGTTCATAACTCTCCCTACCATTTTCTTGTTTCTCGCATTGTACATAACTCTTCCTACCACTTTCTTCAGTCTTTCACATTGTGCGTAACTCTGCCTACCATTTTGTTCAGTCTCATTGTGTGTAATTCCCCCTACCACTTTGCACCTCAGTTCTATAAGAGAACTAATTTGTGTCCATGTTCATTAGTATCTATTACCTTCAGTTAGAATGCATTAGTACAGTATAAGTATTCCTGAGCATTTAATAGTATCCATAAGAATTCATTGTTCATTATCATTCGCTTTAATTCATTATCGTTAATTAGTATTATTTATTAGTATCCATGACCATTCATTACTGCCCATGATCAAATATTAGTATTCATGATTAAACATTAGTATTCATGACCATGACAAAACATTATTATTCATGACCATGACCAAATATTAGAATCCACCCATCCATGGCCAAACGTTTAGTATTCATGACCGAACATTGGTTTTCATAACCAAATATTAGAATCCATTACCAAACATTAGTATTCACAACTAAACGTTAGTATTCATGACTAAAAATTTGTATTCATGATAAAACACATAGTATTCATAACTAAACTTTAGTATTCATGACTAAACATTAGTTTTCATGACCTAGCATTGGTTTCTAGTTTAATTTCTGTTATTAGCATTCATGTAATATCCTAAAATAGGAGTTATAATTCATTGTGGCCTGGTGGCTAAAGATCTCGTTTCACACGGCTAGGGTCCGGGTTCGATTCCCGGCGAGGGTAGAAACATGGGGCGTGTTTCTTTACACCGGTTGTCTATGTACCCTATTGGTAAAATGGGTACCTGGGAGTTAGTCGACTAGTGTGGGTTGCATCCTGGAACAAAACTGACCTAATTTGCCCGTAATGCTCTGCATAATAAGCGGCTTTCTATATAGTAGTATATCATTGATGTCAGCTAGGTCTGTATACATACATGTACTTGTAGAAATAAAGACATAATCATTATTATTATAAGGAGGTCAGTACGTAAAGAATAACATAGATCAAATGTGTTGACAATACTAGACTGGGTGTGACTAGCTTGGGTAAACGCAGAGCTTGTAGGGGTTGTATAGCACTTGGGGAATGGGTAGTAATCAGGTTTGATCCAAGGAAGGCGAGTGTAGCTCCATTTCCTTGGATCAAGAGCTGTTCACCAAAATCAAGGCGCCTCTCCCCGTCGAAGAAAAAGACTAGGGCAAATGCGGTGCTTATGGTATAATGACATACTTGTAGGCACAGGTGTGTATAATGACACACACAAATGTGTATAATTACATATTTGTAGATACAGGTGTATGCAGTTACATACTTGTAGGCACAGGTGTGTGCACTCACATGTTTGTAGGCACAGGTGTGCACAGTTACATGCTTGAAGGCACAGGTGTTTATAATTACATGTTTGTAGGCACATGATGTCCGGTCTTTTCATCGCATTTTTTTGTAATATCTTGCATTTCCCGCATACACTGCTTTTCAGTATCCAGTGTTTGTTTTACATCTTTTCATTTTAAACTTTAATTTAGCTTGGTCAAATTTTAAATTCTTGTATAGCCATCTAATGTATCTTTTTTATGTGCTTGCGCGCTCTCTCTCTCTCTTTCTCTCTTTCTCGTTAGTTCGTTCACTTGTGAATTCTTGTTTAGTAATCAATTTTTTACATGCATAACCATATGCGTTTTGTGGTCACGGTCGCCAACACTTACCTCATTTTTTTCCTGATTCTTCCATAAGGAGCTGCGAAACGAGATATACTCAACTTTGCCCTAGGGTAAATTCCCCACTTTGCATTGTAGCCTAATGACACGGAATTTGTATTCAATAAAGAACACAAACAATGAATACAATAATAATTCTTATTGACCCATGTTAGACACTTTTAACTCGCACCCACCCCAGCTCATTTACCCGTCCAACCTATATTTAAAGCTGCCAAAAGTTCTCACCCCAGTGACATTACCTCATAGTTTGTGCCACTCATTCACAACTCTCCTGCCAAACTAGTACTTCCCTATATCATTTTTAAATGTAAATTTCTTCAACTTGACTCCATTACTGCGAGTCCTGTCTTGGTTAGATACTTTCTGCACTTTACATCTCCTTTATTATTGTTTTCCATTTGTATATCATCCCCCCCCCCCTTTACGTCTTTCCAGTGTGTGCAGATTCATTCACAGTCTTCATCGGAGAGGTTCCTGATGCACACGATCAACTTTGTCGTCCTTCTCAATAATACTTTCCAGCACATTAATGTCCATTCCTTAATATGGAAAGCAGAACTGCGCGTAATCTACATAAAGCCGTACTAAAGATAATATAAAGAAATATAACCTTTGGACTTCTATTATTGACATAGAAAGCTTCAGTGTTAGCAATGATGAATCAGATCAATGGGAAGTAACTAAACGTCAGCGCAGTGAGCGTGTTTCAGTAAAATAGGAAGAAAGCTTTTTTTTTTTTAATTGCAAGTAATGATGAATTTTCAAAATAAGTAGTCGGTATTTAGGTGAAGAAAACTTTACTGAAAATAGGTTACAGTCGGGTAAGAATAGGAAGATCCTGTGGGAAGTAGTGATGAGTCAGGAGACTGAGTATCTGCAGGTAAAGACGGGAATAATGCTTTATGGGGAAAAGTAACAAGTGAATTTAGAGAGATGAAAGATAAGCTGAAGCAGTGTGGCTATGTTTAATCAACTTTGAAACACAAATGTTGATCAAAAGACAATTTTTTAATGATTAAAATTAATTTCCTGTGGGCAACAATTTAAAAATAATAGGTAAACACTGAGATTAAAGGGATTTATCCTTCATTTGCAGACGAGCCGGTGTCCGGCGGGCCGTCGGCTTCCTGGAAAGGATTACCATCTCGTATTGCCGGCCATTATCAACCATCTATACAGGGACCCTACGCTCACCTCCGAGACGGCGTTACCACCGGAGGCGTCACCACTGCCGTGTCAGCTGCTCGTCCCAGAGTAATCGTCACCAGTATGAAGCTGCTTCACTACCTCACACAAGGACCGACCCAACTTCAAGCCTCTTGGTCTTAAACCATAGCTGCTCTTGAGCACCAGGAGCACACATGCCTTGGACCGCTGTTGTAGTGAATGACATCTATAGAGTCGTCGCCGTAAGATCTCATTTATGTTAAAACATCTCATCATGTATATATTAGTCATCCATTCTGCTAAATCTTTTGTATTTGTAAAAAAAAATATTGACTACATGACTTTTAATTTCCTCATCAAAATGAGTAAAGGTTAGTCCTAATTTTGCAACAAAACAGACAGCAGTTAAAAAAAATAGTGCTTAAATTTGACCTTTACCCAAGAGGATTTATTTGTGATCCCAAAGATTTAATTTTGTATTTATATAATATGTACATTTGAGTCTAAAACGTGAGCCATTTTCCAACATCGTAACCCAAAGAAAACATTTGCCTGTCAAGTGAGATAATTAAAATGGTATAAAATACCGACAGATTGTTAGGTAAGACACATATGCAACAGTTAGGTATCTTTATTTCGAAATGTTTCGCCTACACAGTAGGCTTCTTCAGTCGAGTACAGAAAAGTTAATAGAAGCAGAAGATACTTGAAGACGATGTAATCAGTCCATCACCTGCCCTCCCAACGCAACCTACGTCTCACCTCCTGGCACTATAAAAGGCTCCATCCTGTCACTTCAACTTCATATTGTTTCAGACAACGGAACAATGCTCTTCTCCAGACTGAGGGACTGACCACCTCAAAACTTTAAGGGTGATGGACTGATTACATCGTCTTCAAGTATCTTCTGCTTCTATTAACTTTTCTGTACTCGACTGAAGAAGCCTACTGTGTAGGCGAAACGTTTCGAAATAAAGATACCTAACTGTTGCATATGTGTCTTACCTGTCAAGTGAGATAGCTTGACGCCGGGGAAGGGCTCTTGACCCAAGGAATTGAACCTATCTATTCTTTCCTTGACTTGAATTTGATTACTACCCATTCTTACCAGGTGCTGGAAAACCCCTACGGGTTTAACGCTCCCCAATGTATTGAATAAAAACATTCGCTGAGCTACCCTGTCCCCTCAAGGGGACAGGTGAGGGGCTCTTGATCTAGGGAATTGGATCTGTGCTCCAGTTCCCTGAATTAAGCCTAAATACCTCCCATCCCCCCACAGGCGCTGTATAATCCTACGGGTTTAGCGCTCCCCCCATGATTATAATACTCCCTGTATGAGCCATACTGATTTCGAATTCCAGTTAAATAATAGCGCTATCATCTACCAGAAAGACCGAATTCGAAGAGAAAGACATAGTCTTTTAATAGAAAGAAATAGTCCATTAATTGTAATTAGGATCAATGTAATGTTAGGTGCACTTTGCGTTAATATTACTTTTCTGAACGAGTTCACTGAATAGGTTAGAAGAGGTAAATAGGTACTGAAAAATGCCGAGTCAATGCCGAGTCACTTTACAGGAGTGGTTTGATTTCAGCGTCTTTGCCTAAAAACCAGCCAGCACTCCCCACATTTGGTTTTTGACTTATTATCGGGGAAATTAGCAGTTTCGTCAAAATTTGCTGAGAATTGTCTCCCGTATGACTTCACGATTTACAGATATAGCTATTGTAGATAAATGGTTAAAAACACTGACAAGTTGATGAATGAGACACTTTTGCAACACGTGAGAATACCCACATCAATCTGCCTGCTGACTGCTACAGCAGTTAACAGGCAGACTGTTGTATCTGGATCAAGTGATTAAGTAAGTTTATTTAGGTATACACAAATACAGTTACATAGATTATCATACATAGCACAATATGAGTAAATTACCTAGGATAACCAAAAAAAGTCAGACAGAGTGACTTATTTCCATTGGAGTCCTTTTACCTTATTATTATAATATAAAGGTGATAATATCTTATTATTCTATAAAGAAGATAACATCCTCATACTATTAAGACTATCGACTACGCGAGGGTCATTAAGACTATCTATAATACGAGGGTCATTACTAGGAATAAGGTAAAATTACACGTGTGTTAGCTAACAAAAAAAATAATTCCCCTCCCTTTCTGTAGCTACATTCATCAGGCACCTTTTGGCGCTCTTCTTGAACTGGCTCATGCTATGACTGGCTTTGACGTGTGCAGGCAGACTGTTCCAATTTTATAAACTTGATTTAGCTTCAGTTGTTTTACTCTGTCTTCAACATTCTGAATATCCAGGTGCTGTAATTCATCCTGGCCTACATGTTCTCTCGGACTCAGGTCCAGGCTGAATCTTACCATTTTCTTCTGGGTGATTTGCAGTCTATCTTTCAGTTTTTTGTCATGAAGAGCAAGCGTAGTCCATATGACATTGTATATGGACTAGACATAGGGTCCTGCGAGCCTCAGTAGGTAGACACTGTGCTTGTCTATAGATAGAGGAACTTCAGTCTGGCATTCGCTTTCTTTACTACACTGTTCCCTATCAATTCTAATATGCATGGGTCAAAGACGATTGCCAGATATCTTACTGAGGAAACTGAAGTGATGGGCTCACCATTACACTGGACATTAAAATTATTTACCTTTCTCAGTTTATGCTTCGTGCCAAAGAGAATGTCTTCAGTGTTCCCGAGGTGTAATGATAGTTTGTTGTCTACTAACCATTTGCTGTAGGATTCTAGTTCCAGTGTTAATACATTAGCTATGTCTTGTGGGTCTTTACGTGACACTAACAGAGCACTGTCATCTGCATACAGTAGGAGTTTGCACTTGATACTGATAGGCATGTCGTTAACATAGCAAAGGAATAATAAGGGACCCAGAATACTACCTTGGGGAACTCTACATGCTATCGGCAGGGGTTCTGATTCCGTTTTGTTGATTTTGACAATTTGTCTCCTGTTGCTAAGGTAGGACTTAAACATAGTCTACAGAACCTATACCGATAGCTTGAAGTTTCTTACATAATATATTGTGGTTGACAGTATCGAAGGCCTTTTGCAGGTCTAAGGTTACCATACCTACGAGGTTCCCCACTGACATTTCAGTTCTCATGCAATCCATCAGATTAATTAGGGAGGTGTCGGTTGAGTAAGAGCTTCTAAAGCCTGATTGATAGCTATGGAGAATGTTGTCATTAAGGTACTTAACTACTTGACAGCACACCGCCCTCTCTAGAATTTTGGATATTACACTGAGTATACTAACAGGCCTATAGTTACATCAGACCTACTATTTTTCTTGAAGAGAGGAGTAACTCTGGCCTCCTTGAACTCCTCCGGTACGGTATTAGTGGTGATGGACAAATTTATTATATGAGCATAGGGATTGACAATTCAGAAATACCATCTTTTAGGAACTTAGAAGGGATGTTATCAGGGCCGGTGCTCTTAGTTGGGTTTAACCTGCTTAATTCTGTCTGAATAACGTCATGAGATACACTTACTAGCTGACAACTGTTTGGGGTTACCCCTTTATTGGTATAGTATGTTTGAAACTTATCAGTCTGTGTTAAAGGTATTTGATGCGGTTGGTAGTTTACACACTAGTTTTGATGCGACAGATGTGTAGTAGGAATTAAAACAATTTGCCACCTTAGATGTTTCGTGGCATACTTCGTTATCGATAGTGAGTACTATGTTAGACCTATACTGGTTTATGGCTATACCCCAACTGTTTTAGTTGTTGCCAGAGCTTTCTGAAGTTATGCTTATACTCTTCAATTTTTGAGCAATAGTGCTTTGCCTTTGCTCCTTTTATAAGTCTATGTACTCTGTTCCTCACCCTTTGGAATTCGTTTAGTGCTGCAATATCCTGTCTGTTTTAATTCATTTTAGCAATTGATCTCTGGATTTCATATTATCTAATATCTCAGTAGTCATCCAGGGTTCGGTTCTCCGTTTAATCCTAACCTCTTTAACTGGTGCAATATTATCAAGGATGGTATTGAAACATATTTTAGTAAACAGGCTCGGAAAAAAGAACGAGGCTTCCAGAGAAAGCTTGCTGAAAGCAATACAGTGGGCGCACACCCTCCCAAAGCTGTCAGGTTAGATTTCCCTAACAACACTGATCAAGAGACCAAGTTTAACTGGTTTTTCGAAGCTAGTGTAAACAATCATGAGAAAACGATCAAGTTTGTCCGCGATGAGGATAACTACGTCTTTGTGCCTAATGATTCAGCATTTATAGACAAACTTCTCACTTGCGAATATGCCAACATCAAACTCCGAGCTGCCCCACCAAGGGCACCTAAAGTGCTTATTGTCATCTAACACGTCAACAAGCACTTGAATCCTCAATATCTGGCGTCAGAGCAAGTTGCAAGCCCTCGTCGACTTTCCAACGGTCTGATATTAGCCGAGTGGACTGGCCAGGGGACTCTGCCACGCTATATTCACTCCCGCGCAGCCCTCAACAGACGCTATTACATTGCATTGTACAGACCTCCTCAACGTCGATGTTATAAGTGTCAACGCTGGGGCCACATTGCCAGGAAATGCCCATCTAAGTCACACTGGTGTGCAGTGTGTGCCAATGCTCATCCTTCTGAACGGTGTTATGATATGATCAAACAGCAACAGACTGTTGCTAAACAATGTATCAATTGTAAGACCTCAGGAGTCACAGCAGCTCATGCTGACTGCAGTGTGAGGGCTGATCGCATCACAGCCAACGGCACTTCACCCTGTCCCCCTCATTATGACCCCCTAGGACTACCAGGTACCTCGGGTATGAATACTGGCTCATGCCTGCCCTCAGACAATGGGGTTGAGCACCTCACCTGGGGAGCACGTCAACAGACCTCCATCACGTCGGCTGTCAATACCAGCCTAGCTGAGTCAGCTGACAGT